TTTGAATTTTGTAAAAATATAATATACAATATTTTTATACTGGTTAAAAATAGGTTTACTTATTTTTAATTCCCCTTTTCTTTCTTTTTTGTTTTTAAAAATAAATAACCCAATCATAAGTAAGCCGGCGTGTTATACATTTATGTAAATTCATTAAAAAAAAATATTTAGTTTTACTCTTTAAAATGTAAAAAACATGTTAACTAATTTGTGTTTTCTATTAATAGTAGCCACAACAAGTTAAAAAAAAGTTATTATGGGCGTGGTGTCGCCGCCTTTGCGCTGAAATTCAGCTGTGCTGTTGATTTCTGAATGGGTGACCATACGGGAACTTTAACAGTGACACATATATTTACCCCATACTGGTTCTCCAGCTAAAATAACGTTGCGTCAAGTCGACATCCGGTGTAAAATTCTGTCAAATTGTTTGGACAAGCCGACCGTAAATAGTTGAGATAGAGACATGATGATAATGATCAAAATTAAGTTATTAGAATTTTTTTTTTAATATTCAGTGAAAAAATGTAAATATAATAAAAATTGATCACTTGTGGCTAATCAATTAAGTAAAATTAAAACTATATTAAAAATATTATTAATTTAAAAAACTAAAAAATATTAAACTCAAAGCCACAAAAAAATTAATGAAACGACGCGGATACGTATTTCGGAAACAATGTTACCATGATCAACGCTAAACACATACTGACACCCCGACTAGAAAAAACTCCCTTATATACCCCTAGTGACCTTATAACCTAGTGACGTTATCATTAAGTAATATTATCACATTTTGCCAGTTTACACAAGTTTAATAATGAATTTTTCAGTGGGCCAAGATCCCAATTAATTAAATTGTTTTTATTTTTAAACATTTCTATTGCTTCTCTGATATTAAGTTCTTTGTAATTATTTACGTTTTTAATTAGTTTTATGGTTTTAATAGAGTGATTATGTGTCAATAAATGTTCAGCCACTGGAGATTTCTCAATTTCTTGATTTTTAATATTTCTTAAGTGCTCTTTAAACCTGACCCCTATATTTCTTTTTGTTTGTCCTACGTAACATTTATTACAACTTTCACATTGTATTTTATAAATGCCTAATTTCCCCCTTTCATCTACCTTATCTTTAGGGTTACCTAATAAATCTCTTAAATTATTACTCTTAGATGTTACCAAAGTAATACCAAAATTCTTAAATATTTTAGTTAATCCATTTGAGATGCCCGGATAAAATAAAATTGGTGATCTAATTACTTTTTGTTCCCCCTCGCTGGAGAGTGTACTAGCTGCCCTCCTTTCTTTTTTCCACTTTTGTTTTCGGACTAATTTCAAAATTATGTTTTCGTTATACCCATTAAATTTAGCTATTTCTTTTATAACCACCAATTCTTTATCATAATCTATTTTATTCATCGGAATATTAATTAATCTGTAAACCATACTATTAAAAGCTGACAATTTGTGTTGCCAGGTGTGGTTCGATGTGTTCGGAATGTATCTGAACGTGTGTGTGTTTTTCCGATAAATTNTGTGATTTCAAGACGAAAGTACGCCTGATTGGAGCTGATATATTTTTTCTCAAAAAATGTATTAAGTTCCATATGACTCCGAAGTTTGCCAGATTACCAAGTAAGTCAAACAATAATAATATTAATTTTTACAAGTCAATAAATTTCGCTCAGGAGAAATTTCTTAAGTTAGAAATAATAAATCATTATCGCAATAGAAGTAGATTAGAAATGGGGACTTATCAATTACATTTAAAACTCTCTAATTTTTTGAGTCAATCACAGTGGGATATCTTCGAGCTGAAGATGTACCAAGTGGTTGAACATAAATTTAAAACAAAAAAAGAAAAGTTAAATAAAAAATTTCAAAATTTACTTTCAGAATACAAAAATAAGGGTCAAATAGATAATTTTAATAAGAGTCCGGTAGTTTCANCGGTCAAATTGATAATTTTAATAAGAGTCCGGTAGTTTCATTTTCTAAAAACTGGGGGGACGATTTAGTTAAAAATTACACAAACATTGTTTTTTCCGTTGAAGAAACTGAAATACTTAAGTTGGGTCTTAAAACAAGTTTTTTACCAAAAAAATTTCCAATGGAAGATCTACTAGTAGGCATTGAAATGGGGGTTAAAAGTGTTGATTTTAATAATCAAGACTTAGCAAGAAGGGAGTGTTTAAATTTTCTACAAAAAAATTCTGTTATAAATAAAGGGGGTTTAGGAAAAAATGAAAAACATTCACGACTCATAAAAGACTTAAAAAATAAAAACTGTTTTTATTTAAAGGCAGATAAGGGGAATTCTGTTGTAATACTAAAAAAAGAAGATTATTATGAAAGAGTATAAAGAATGATTCAAGAGGGTCCTTATAAAGAAATTAAAAAGAATCCATTAAATAAAATGATAAGGGAGGCTACAAACGTCATAAATAGTTCAAAATTAATAATCGAAGAAAATTTCAGGTTTTTCATTAAAATTTCAAACCCTCAAATACCTAAACTATATGCTTTGCCAAAAATACATAAGCCAGGAAGTACTATGAGACCTATTGTGTCGAATATTAATGCTCCGACTTACAATTTGGCTAAACACCTAGTAAGGGTATTTTCATCTTTCAAAAAATTCGATAGTTTTTCAGTTAAAAATAATATTGATTTAGTTAAACAATTATCTAGTTATACCATTCAAAATAATGACAGGTTAATTTCTTTTGACGTAGTTGCCTTATTTCCGAATATTCCAATAAATATAACAATTGATTTTCTTAAAGACTGGCTAAAGGACCAAAACATTGAACAGGATAAAATAAATGAGCTTATTAATTTAACAAAGTTATGTATGAGTCAAAATGTTTTTCAGTTTCAAAATAAATTTTATGAGCAAACTGAGGGCACAGCAATGGGAAATCCGCTATCACCATTTTTAGCAGAACTTTTCATGAGTAGGTTTGAAACAAATTTAAAATACACTTATGGTGATTTTCCAAAAATTTGGGTTAGGTATGTCGATGATATTTTTGCAGTTATAAATAAAGATTTTAATATGGGGGTTTTCATACAACATTTAAATTCTTTTTACCCATCGATTAAATTTACATATGAACAAGAAATAGAGGGAAAATTGCCTTTTTTGGATTTATTAGTTAAAAGAACAGAGGGGGAACTAAATTTTGAAATTTATCGGAAAAACACACACACGTTCAGATACATTCCGAACACATCGAACCACACCTGGCAACACAAATTGTCAGCTTTTAATAGTATGGTTTACAGATTAATTAATATTCCGATGAATAAAATAGATTATGATAAAGAATTGGTGGTTATAAAAGAAATAGCTAAATTTAATGGGTATAACGAAAACATAATTTTGAAATTAGTCCGAAAACAAAAGTGGAAAAAAGAAAGGAGGGCAGCTAGTACACTCTCCAGCGAGGGGGAACAAAAAGTAATTAGATCACCAATTTTATTTTATCCGGGCATCTCAAATGGATTAACTAAAATATTTAAGAATTTTGGTATTACTTTGGTAACATCTAAGAGTAATAATTTAAGAGATTTATTAGGTAACCCTAAAGATAAGGTAGATGAAGGGGGGAAATCAGGCATTTATAAAATACAATGTGAAAGTTGTAATAAATGTTACGTAGGACAAACAAAAAGAAATATAGGGGTCAGGTTTAAAGAGCACTTAAGAAATATTAAAAATCAAGAAGTTGAGAAATCTCCAGTGGCTGAACATTTATTGACACATAATCACTCTATTAAAACCATAAAACTAATTAAAAACGTAAATAATTACAAAGAACTTAATATCAGAGAAGCAATAGAAATGTTTAAAAATAAAAACAATTTAATTAATTGGGATCTTGGCCCACTGAAAAATTCATTATTAAACTTGTGTAAACTGGCAAAATGTGATAATATTACTTAATGATAACGTCACTAGGTTATAAGGTCACTAGGGGTATATAAGGGAGTTTTTTCTAGTCGGGGTGTCAGTATGTGTTTAGCGTTGATCATGGTAACATTGTTTCCGAAATACGTATCCGCGTCGTTTCATTAATTTTTTTGTGGCTTTGAGTTTAATATTTTTTAGTTTTTTAAATTAATAATATTTTTAATATAGTTTTAATTTTACTTGAAAAAATGTAACATTGTTTTAATTTTCTTAAATTAGTAGCTAAAATTAAACTTTATAATCATTTTAAAATTTTAAAATTAATTTTTTCAGGTAATTTTTAAGTATATTATTTGACGCCTTGTATTTTGTGAATAATCAATAAAACTTTACCCATAGTATATTCTGAAAGCTCATTTTACAAGCTTTCTTTTGGTATACATGACGATCCGTGAATCATTAACCACTCGATTATTCGTAAAATAATAATAATTTTGAGAATTTTCTATATATATTTTAGTTATACATAATTTTTAAATTATCCTCTAATAAGTATTTTTTGGATCATTCCTTATCCGTTATAGGGGTATCAACTTTTTTTTTAATGGAAACATACATATTTAATTCATTAATAATTTAGAGTAATGTCTGAAAGTGAAGAGTAGGTCCTGCTATTTTTATCACTGCATATTTCTCGGCTTCATTCCTTCTTCCGTCTAGGTATATAAATGTTAATAACATTTAAAATACTGGTCCAAAAGTTGTTACTGACCAGTCATTTTCTCAATTGGCATTATTTTCTATTTTATAAACTAGTTAAATATGTTTGTTTCTATAAAAAAAAAGTCGATATTTCTATAATGCATAAAGAATGAACCAAAAATAAAAAGTCGATAAATAGAGAATTATAATTAACTGACATATACGGAACAAGTGGGTAAAGTATCAACAACAGACGAGGCCTCACACTTCACGTTTCATATTTAAAATTAAAATAACTAACAAAAAATACTGCATATTGACTCGATCACGGAGCTCGCCAGTGCAGTATTATTTTTGCGTTAATGATAATTTTTAATTTTTAGCATGTCAAACAATAAGGGCAATACACTCCGGGGACGCAAGGAGCGCTTACAACAAATTTTCCGCCAAATAATAGAAGAGCTCGATATGTCGCTTGCTCAAGCGCCGGCACTGCTCACCTCGCCTCAAGCCGCTCAGGAAGCAAGTTTGTATCAGATTTTTATGGAACCGATAGCAAGGGCTTTATACTACAGGGGTCTTAAAGACGGGCGGACGGCCACCATCTGTGAAACACGGAGGGCACTTGAAACTGTTTCCGTGTTTCCTCGGTCATTACCAGGGGAAAGGACGCTATCATTTGTTTCAGCCGTGTCCATCACATCAGCATCGACAGGCCGACCAACGGACCGAAATCGTCAGTCCGCTATTACTTGCGTGACTGCTACGAACTCCTCGCTACAGAGAGTCAACATGGGGGCGAGCACGTCCGCTGGAACGCGTCCTGCACTTCCCCGCAAAAGAAAACTTTGTCCTTCCGACATTCGTCGAAGGGAATACAAACGTAAGATATTTCTGGAGAGAAAAGAAAATGAGAGAAAAACAGCCTCTGGCATAGCAGTGACAACCAACGTGAGAAGTCTGATACCTCTGACAGGGAAGCCACAGACAACGCCCTTGCCACTGATTACTCCGCCGATAGCTAGACCACAAACTCCGGTGACGGCCATGATCCGATACACCGTTAACCCATTGGTTATACCATCATCAACTCCACTGGGACCGCCAACTGGCAACGACATCAGCTCGACACCCACTGTGTCTGAAGAAGAAGCTACGGATATACTGAACGATATCGTAGAGGCTTTTTTTTCTTGTCCCACATCTCCTTCCGCTTCTAGTTCCCCTCGTCCCACATAATCAGACAAGTCTTACAAACTTCTCTTTTTCTATTTTTCTCCCCCTATTACACACAGAAGGGAAGGAAATCCTTCTTATTCTCCAAATCATCCATATCCCACGGATGACAAAGCTATTAGTCCGTAATACATGGACTGGACTGCCTGTCTTCGTCTACCAGGAAGTCCGTACATTTTCGGACTGATAATAATATTTCATATCAATATTCTATATACTTTTCAGAAATGTTATCTCTATTTGTAATAGTTTCTTCCGTGATCATTTTCTTTTCCGTTCTTTCATAGCAACTACTACTATCAATCTCCATAATTTTAGCATTATTATTCTTACTTTCTGTTATTTCTTTACTATAGTTATTTTTTGTTATTTCGTTAGTATCAATGATCATAATTTCATCAGAATTACTATAGTAATTTTTTAAACTGTTAACAAATATATTATCGCTATTATAAAAATTTCATAAAAAATAACATCCCCAAGAATTTGAATTATTTTCTATATTGCTTTTTATTATACTTGATGGATAGCTTTTTTACTTGTTATAGTATTTCTATAAAAAACCTATTTGCCTCTCGTTATATTTTATAATGATCTATTTCTTTTTCTGAAATAGGAATATTACCATTTCTAAATAGAGTATGAGTAGGGTCGATAGTTACAAAATCAAAAACATGCATAACAATTTTTCTTCAGCTCTATATAATTATATAACTATATAATTTATTAATAAAAGTGAAGCATTTAATATTAAAATATCAATAATGCTTTTTAAAATATTGATAGTAGTAGTTAAGTCATCTGAATATTTTTATGTAAATGTTTTAAAAATATAGCTTGTTTATACTTATCATAGCAAAAACATCACGATTAATATAGTAATTTTTTTCTTAATATATTAAATACTCTTTATAATTACTTAATCTTAATACTTTTCTGGTACAAACTCGTTACGAAATTTGATAAATGTATCATTTTTTTGATTTTATCTTGGATATTATTTGGATTAATTAAATTACCCTCTCTATAATCTAAAAGGTAATTTTATAATATAGTATAGTCTCGACGAAATACTCGAAGGAGATATTAATTTCTATACGTGTTTCAAGTATTTATTTCATTACTTTAAATTGAAACGTCTGCGATAGAGAGATCTGAATCGCCGTCGAGTAATAATAATTCACTTAAACAAAGTTCGGTCAATGCAGCGTTTACCCGTTTACCCAGAAATGCCATTGCCTATAAGTGTTACAAGTATTTTTTTCATAACTTTAATTTGAACAATTGAAATGACTGAATAGTAAAAAAAAATTTGGATAATATAAAATGCATTGAATGAATTGACTTTGTTATAAAAGTGCTTTTCTTTTGAATATTTGTGTATTATGTATACTTTTACGTATAGTAAAATAATAATCAAATGGCATGACTTTATTAAACACCAGAGGATTTAACTAAATGCATCCAGATTATTTTTTTTTTTATATTTTAATATTTTTTTATATATAAATAATATATAATAAATGATTTAACACTATTGTAATAAACAAGAAGAAAGGATAGTGGTGAGCTATATTAAATCTACTCAAGGTGAAACTTACATTTATTATACCTATGGTATTTTATGTAAAACCCTTTTGTATATTTATGTAATATACTCTTTAATCTTGTGTATGATATACTTTTTAACCTTGTGTGTGGTCGTAGCTAATACCAACATGAAACCTCAAATAATATCTTTACCTTTATTCAAAGACCTATATGATATGTGGCCTACTTCATTTCAATTACCTGAAGGACAACCTAAGTTCGATATGACTGTACTATAGATTTATGCACATTAAGTTATGTTAGTGTCTTACTCTCCGATTTCCCGCATTGTGGCTGAGATCAGACTGGCTAGTCGACAAGTGGAGGGACACTTTGGAGAAATCTTGTGCTTAATTAAAATTTCAATTATAACATGGGGCGCTTCAATAAGTAATAAAACGCAATGAAATCTAATCATGTATTTTTTGAAATGTGTATATTAGGATGAATAAAAAAAAAAGTCGATCTTCGAAATTGTAATGTGAACCATTTTAACTTTATTTTATACATTAAAATAGGCATTTTGTAAAGAGCCAAACTGCATAAAAATTATTCACTCATCTTAAAAACGTATACCTTTCTTAAAAATGCTGTGTAAGCTAAAATATATGATATTTTTGAAAATATTAATAAATATNCGACGAAATACTCGAAGGAGATATTAATTTCTATACGTGTTTCAAGTATTTATTTCATTACTTTAAATTGAAACGTCTGCGATAGAGAGATCTGAATCGCCGTCGAGTAATAATAATTCACTTAAACAAAGTTCGGTCAATGCAGCGTTTACCCGTTTACCCAGAAATGCCATTGCCTATAAGTGTTACAAGTATTTTTTTCATAACTTTAATTTGAACAATTGAAATGACTGAATAGTAAAAAAAAATTTGGATAATATAAAATGCATTGAATGAATTGACTTTGTTATAAAAGTGCTTTTCTTTTGAATATTTGTGTATTATGTATACTTTTACGTATAGTAAAATAATAATCAAATGGCATGACTTTATTAAACACCAGAGGATTTAACTAAATGCATCCAGATTATTTTTTTTTTTATATTTTAATATTTTTTTATATATAAATAATATATAATAAATGATTTAACACTATTGTAATAAACAAGAAGAAAGGATAGTGGTGAGCTATATTAAATCTACTCAAGGTGAAACTTACATTTATTATACCTATGGTATTTTATGTAAAACCCTTTTGTATATTTATGTAATATACTCTTTAATCTTGTGTATGATATACTTTTTAACCTTGTGTGTGGTCGTAGCTAATACCAACATGAAACCTCAAATAATATCTTTACCTTTATTCAAAGACCTATATGATATGTGGCCTACTTCATTTCAATTACCTGAAGGACAACCTAAGTTCGATATGACTGTACTATAGATTTATGCACATTAAGTTATGTTAGTGTCTTACTCTCCGATTTCCCGCATTGTGGCTGAGATCAGACTGGCTAGTCGACAAGTGGAGGGACACTTTGGAGAAATCTTGTGCTTAATTAAAATTTCAATTATAACATGGGGCGCTTCAATAAGTAATAAAACGCAATGAAATCTAATCATGTATTTTTTGAAATGTGTATATTAGGATGAATAAAAAAAAAAGTCGATCTTCGAAATTGTAATGTGAACCATTTTAACTTTATTTTATACATTAAAATAGGCATTTTGTAAAGAGCCAAACTGCATAAAAATTATTCACTCATCTTAAAAACGTATACCTTTCTTAAAAATGCTGTGTAAGCTAAAATATATGATATTTTTGAAAATATTAATAAATATTTAAATTAAATACTTTTTAATTGAAATTTTTTTATTTAAATTTTCAATAATTTTAATATATATCGTAAATGTAAAATTATATATTGTATTTAATTTAAAATTGCCTTTTTATAAAACAAAACAGGTGTTTTATATGATATAATATTGGTAATTTATTTTTACTTACAAAAGGTAGAATTATTTGGAATCTCAAATACATCTTTTATTCAATTAATAGATCGAAAAAAGAGTTTTTAATAAATATTTATACTATTTTTTCTTAAGTACTAGGAAATACAAAAATATTTAGACACTGACACAATTTCATTCATTTTGATTAGCTTGGCTGTTATTGAGTATTTCAAGCTACTCTACAGTATTATACTATAAAATAATTAGCTCATGATTTGATATGATCAAAAATTTAAGTATAAAATATTTATGATTGTTGTGAAATTGTATAAAACTAACAATTTAGGTATTCTTGTAAATATTATTTATAAATGTCGTTTGATTATCAAATACTTTTCAATTATTTTTTTTTATCAAACAATATATTTATACTAAATATAATAAATAACATAAGAATATAATTTTATGTTATGATAAAATTATACATCAGTATAAATTTAATTAAAAATTATGAAAAATCAGCAAACCCATGTGAAGTTACAGGTTTAATTGATTTTAATAGTAAAATGTTGAAATTTTTAGTTTTATTTAAATGTTTTTAATATAATATTAATATTAATAATAATATTAAGTAAGAAAAAATAAATTACATATAGTTTTAATAAAATTATTTTTTGATATGAATATAATTATATCAAAATATAATTATTTTAAAACTAATAAAGTTTTAATAAAAACTGTAATTTAAGCCATAACATTTCATTGTTTTACGTAAAATGTCTTTGTAACTCAATTTTTAGAATATATTTTGTACTACATATGAAGCACAAATGTTTAGTAAAATTTACGTTCAGTTTAATTTAACTGTATAATGGAAAACTCAAATAACAAATCTCATCGTTTAACGATTACGACAAAAAAAAAACATTACTGGCCTAAAGCTCCCATTAAAAAGTTCTGTAGTTTTGGGTAATTTTTTTTATTTTCAAAGTGTGGCCAAATAACTTATATCTATTAGTCAACATCTTTATTCAAAGCCATTAATACAGGTCCGATTGAAAACTGACTCATAACACTTAAACGTAAAGTCGTTTCACAAATAAAACATCTCTATAAGAAGTGAATTAAGTAAAAAGGTTTTTTATGACATCAATATTCGCAGGTACACAGCATTGTTATAATCAAAAGTAGTGAGGCACATTGTTGTGAGTTCATAAAAATACATTAACTGATAATATAAAAAGTATATCTATTGTAGTCATAATTGGTAATAAACAATCCGTGACAGTGACAGCGATGTCAAAAAAGGTCCAATTGGCTAATTTAAATGTAATCCCTTGTGTATTATACATGAATATTAACTCAAAAATTTGAAACTTTAAATGTTTGTATCTAATAAACTAATAAAGTTACATTAAAAAATCAAATGCCATTTATTATTAAATTAAAAACTCAAATTCTCAGCTTCGCATCGAAGCTAACATTTTATTAAATTCAAAATATGTGTTCCAATTTAAAAAACAGAGTTGACATACTTATACGGCATAAGGGATGAATTTAAAAAGTATTAAATAGTTAATAATTCCAGAATAATGTGTAACTAATGATAACTAAAAAAATGTATAAATTACATTTATCCTGTAAGTAATTGAGTAGGTTATGATAAAAACGGTAGCATAGTGGGCACAATGTGGACGAGGCATGGATGGGACAAGTATAGATAATATCTGACAGTGATTAAAATCGCTATCATAAGAAACGCTTCGATACAAATCTGTAGATAGTGTTTAATTTAGAGAAATTGGTGTATTATTCCAAAAGCAACATCAACTCTTATTTCTTTAATTATATCCTGATTAGTAGTTCTTTGATTTTAAAATATAATATATGAATAAATACTAATTATAGTTTTTAAATTTAGTATGAAATTGTGAGGCCATGATTTATGGTTCATAGTGTTAGGCGGTTGATAAGAAAGAAGAGCAGAGAATAAGTGTAGCAGAGATGAGAATGCTTAGTTGGATGAGTAGAGTGACTAGAGAAGATAGGATAAGGAACGAGCATATAAGAGGAAGTAAAGGTGTTGCGTCAATCGTGGATAAGATGACAGAAAATAGACTTAGATTGTTTAGTCATGTTATGAGGAGAGAAGAATCGGAAGCTGTAAGAACAGTTATAGAAATGAATGTTGAAGGAAGAAGAGATAGAGGAAGACCAAAAAAGAGATTGAGGGATTTTATTGAATGCGATATGAGAACAGCTGATGTGAGCGTAGAAGATGTGGGAGATCGTGTCAAGTGGAAGTTTAGGATAAGGGTGGCCGACTCCAAATAGTTGGGATTAAGGCAAGGAAAAAGAAAAAGATTACCAGAAATTCCGGTGGCAATTGACATAATATTATAATTACTATTTACTGTATATTTATCAGAAAAACTCATTATTTTTTTGCATTTTTATCGTAATAGAACACTTAAATAGAAATCATAGTAATCATTTCTAAGTAATTTTTGGTATTTAAAAAGATTCTACAATTGAAATATCCTGAACTGAATTCATCTTAATGATTTACTTTAACTAAAAAAAAAAAGTTTTCATTTTGAATCCCTCTTTTTTTATACTAATTTGGTCATTTTTGATAAAGTTATAACAGTTAACAAAGTTATAAGTTTTATACACTGGACTACAAGGAACTTTCATCAGAAACAAAAATATACTATTTTAAATCAACTTTTCGCCATGTTTTCAAATGTGCAATTAGACTTTTTCTATCACTTCTAAGTTTTAATTTTATTAAAAAATAGTATTTACATATAAAAAAAAATAATTAAGAACAAAAAAAATTGTTTTAAATTAATACTGATTTGATATAATATTTAATATTAATTTGATTATTAATAATTTAAAAATAAAGAAAATGACATATTTAACGTATTTTTTTAATTTTTTAAAGTTGATTGTTGTAAATGTTTATAATAAAAAAAATAATTTATTTTACCATAACTTTTAGCTCAATTGGCAAGTTTGACATTGACATCATTAAATAGAAAATTTTATGACAATTAAAAAAATTGTATCGTTAAGATCAATATGCAGTCAGAAAGTTTTATAATTACTATTTATTGTAAATTTATCAGAAAAGCTCAATATTTTTTTGCATTTTTATGGTAATAGATAACTTAAATAGAAGTAATAGTAATAATTTCCTAGGAACTTTTGTTGTTTGTTGAAAAGATTCTATAATTGAAATATTGAGAACTTAATTAATTTTAATGATTTACTTCAACTAAATGAATCAATCAAAACAAAGTTGTTAAAAAGATTTACTCAATTGAGCGTATTATAAAATTTGATTATATATGTAAAAATCAATTATTAATTCAGGAGAAAAAATAATCAATTTTTTTAGAAATGATTTATATAGCAACATGTTACAAAAAAATTTGTAATATTATAGTCTAGTAGTAGCACACACAAATAGAGTAAAAAAATTATTAAATTACAAAGTAAAATGATTTAATTTTGTAGTTGAAACCTATCATANGTAAAATGATTTAATTTTGTTGTTGAAACCTATTATATCAAACTCCATTCATTAATAAATATTTTGAAAACATTAGAAATTAATGATTTTAATTGTTTTTATGGAGAACATGTAATAACTAACTGTTTAATTGATAAATTATAATTTTTTTTTCAATTTTTGAGGGTAATATCTTCAACTAGATACGAATTGTAGTCATTTGACGTATCGTTGAAAGTAGGTCAAGTTAGAGCAGAGAAAATAAATGATAGTCACAAAAATATATCTTCTCAGCTTTGCATCGAAGCTAAAACTTAAAATATAGTAAAATAATTTTAATACGAATAAGAAATTTCTTCTTACAAGGGGCGACTAAATGATCCTTGATCTTTATTGAAGTTATTGAATCTAAATGAGATAAAAATCAAAGCAGTTGAAAATTTATACTAACTTAAAAATAATTAAGAAAAAATGCAAAGAAATCATTTCCATACGCGGGTTGGAACCTCGTACTCCAAGATTGTAAAACACAAATTATACCAACTCGGAAACCGTACGTTGCTAACGTCGGCTGAAAAAATTAGCTATTTAAGCTAGTTCAAATTTCAAAGTTAATTTTCTCGACTTCAAAAAACAAAAAAATAAGTTTAACTTTCTATGCTATCTCAAATTTTTATTTATATAATATTTATAAAAATCTGTACCCCCCTTGTCAAGTATTTTAAAATAAAATAAAATACAGAACCCAGAATTTTACCACAAAAATAGCATATTTTTGAATACGGTATTCATTTTTACCATGAAGACAAATCCAGTGATTAGTGGTCAAATTTTCAAATTAAAGTATATTACATAAGCTTTAATTTAATATATATATAAAAGTGTCATTTTTTCCGGAACATTTTCAAAAGTTAATTTGAAAAAGTTCTACTTTCTATACACATTTTAAAAGGTTTGTACCCCAGCTGTATAAAAGGAAATGGTCCGATTTAAAAAAAAGTATATCAAATGAAAGAGATATATATAAAGTATTTATTATTAAAGAACAGAATTGATTTATGCATTTTTTAAAAAGTTATAGCAATATAATGTTAAAAAATGTGAAATATAATATCAAGAATTTTTTCACAAAAATAGCATGTTTTTGCATACGGTAGTCATTTTCACCATGAAGACAAGCCCAGAAGTCAATTTTTTTTTTCAAATTAAAGTATATTACATTAGCTTTAATTTAAGGTATATATAAAAGTGTCAGTATTTCTGAAACATTTTCAAAAGTTATGTTGAAAAAGTTAATTTTTTGTAAAAAAGTTACCATTTTGAAACCTTTCCTGTGAATTGTAAAGGGTTAAATGTTCACAAAAATATATAAAATAATAGGTGAATACCTAAGGTATCTATAAAAAAAAAATTATATTGATTCGGTAATTTTTAAAAAAGTTATGGCAATTTTAATTAAAAAAAATTGAAAGAATATCGAAAATTAGCGATTTTTAAATTTGTAATTTTTTGGAGGATTTCCCCCGTTTACGGGGAACGAGGTAATTTTTTAAAATTTTTGAGGGTAATGTCTTCGACTAGATACGATTTGTGATCTTTTGACATATTGTTCATCAAAATCGGTTCAGTGACAGCTGAGATTGAGCGTATACAGACACACAAAAAAAAAAAACATCATAGTAAAATTAATACCTTCTCAGCTTCGCATCGAAGCTAAAAAACACTCTCTATATATATTAAGACACAATTTTTTTATGGAACTAAACGATAGGCATAACTACAAGTTGAGTTTACAAGATTACAGATAGAGTTACAACACGTCTACACAATTTCAAATGCCTAGACTTTAGATCCCCACCCCAATAATTATAGTTATAGCTCTGGTCAGCGTAGTTCTGTTTAGGAATAGCATAGCACACTGGTAAAACATTAGCTGGAAAACGTGTAGTAGTACTTATAATTATAATAATTTTCCATTTAGTACAGAAAGTCACCATTAAAATAAAAAGCCAACAATAATTTTTCTATTCATCCGTGTAATTTATTATTTTAATTTGTGTCAGTTACATATAATTTTAGAATAAAATTAAATTATTTGTAATAAGTTTCAAATTTACAATAAAATATTTCACTTATAATTTAACCTTCAAATTATAATTTTATTATGATTTGATGTTTTTTTTTTGTGTCTGTCTTCACTTTTTCTCAATGTACGTTATGGCTTTCAGATCCATCCATAGCTTCATGTATTTAGAAGGTTTAAATGTATACTCGGTACTGATTTTATTATTAAAATAACTCGTTGCATATATACAATCAGCAATTTGATTAGTATTCGGAGGAATATATTTTTTCGTTTCTTCATTGTATAAATTATAAAAAATCTTCCAAGAATTAATTGATTCATTAAGTTGGCTATTAAAATCATCTGTTTTAGTTTCTATTGATAATTTTTTATTGAAATTTATCATCTGTTCAAATAATGAACTACGAAGAAATTCTTTAAATGAAAAATATAATTCTTCACTTAAATCTGAATTTAAAATTTTCTTAATATAATCTTCTAAATCAGAAATATCTATGTTATATTGTTTCATGAATTCAATAATATAATCTGATGATGAAATTATCGTATCTTTCATACGATTAAAACCGTAAATTAAAATTGTACCTTCTTCATAATTTACCAACAAATACAATAATTTGTACGACCTGATTTTCATGGCCAAGTGATATTGCTCATCGGTAATATTATCACCGTTCATTTCACCTAAGATAACATTATTGGGAACACTAAATATTATTTCTGACTTCATAAGTTCTCCATGGGGACATTTATCCCAATCAATCGCATTGGAAAAACGAAAAAAAACTGTAAAAATTATGATTGAACACAATGTTGATTTCATCTTGGATAAATTTCTTGACGTCACTTGCACGATAATTAACAGTAGTCGGATAAAATATCTTAAATGATAATCTAAATAATATCATACAATTTTGATAACTATATATACAATTAAATATATAATAATATGGTAAATTTATAATAAAAAATATAGAGTAATGTTAGCGAATTTTTTGGGTAAATAATTTTAAATATACTAACCAAACAATGAGAAATTTACGAAAATAATTAAATTGAACAGATATGTTTGTTTTGTATTTCACTTATACCTTTTTTACAAGAACAATATAATATTATTGTACGTACAGTCCATTATTTTATACATGTATTAACTCAAAAATTTGAAACTTTAAATGTTTATATCTAATAAACTAATAAAGTTACATTAAAAAATCAAATGCCATTTATTATTCAATTAAAAACTCAAACATTTTATTAAATTCAAAATATGTGTTCCCATTTAAAAAAACAAAGTTGACACACTTATAAGGTATAAGGGATGGATTTAAAAAATATTAAATAGTTAATAATTCAAGAATAATGTGTAAATAATGATAACCAAAAAAAATTTTAAATTACATTTATTCTGTAAGTATTTGAGTGTGTTATGATAAAAAAATCACTCTGTATATATATTAAGACACAATTTTTTTATGGAACTAAACGATAGGCATAACTACAAGTTGAGTTTACAAGATTACAGATAGAGTTACAACTCGTCTACACAATTTCAAATGCCTAGACTTTAGGTCCCCACCCCAATAATTATAGTTATAGCTCTGGTCAGCGTAGTTCTGTTTAGGAATAGCATAGCACACTGGTAAAACATTAGCTGGAAAACGTGTAGTAGTACTTATAATTATAATAATTTTCCATTTGTCAAAATATACTACACTGTAGTATATTTTGACAAATGGAAGATTATTAGTACAGAAAGTCACCAATAAAATAAAAAGCCAACAAAAATTTTTCTATTCATCCGTGTAATTTATTATTTTAATTAGTGTCAGTTACATATAATTTTAGAATGACATTAAATTATTTGTAATAAGTTTCAAATTTACAATAAAATATTTCACTTATAATTTAACCTTCAAATTAAAATTTTATAATATTCATTTTGTGTCAATATCAAATTTGCGAACTTTCTCTTCGAATTAAAGGAGTCAATACTAACTCCTCTCAGGTTCCCTGGTCTTTTTAAAACTCTTCTTGTACTCAGGTTTTTCAATATATTTTCATAAAAACTACGCCAAAAGAATGCTTATTGTACCTTGTAAATTCAATAAAATATCATTAGAATCAGTGTCCTTAAAAAATTATAGCAGTTTTATATTTGAAACTTGAATTTGTTTAGGATAAATAACAGTATTTTCTAAAAAATTAAAAATTTTATTCTATATTTTTGTAACATTTATAATAGTAATATTGTTAAAATGGTCATTTAAACATCTTATAATAATAGTATAAATGATTAAAAATACATAAGAATAATAATTTTTTTTTTCGAGATGTTTATGTCAAATTTTTTTTTTAAACCATCTCAATATTGTTTATATAAATTTTTAGCTACGATGCGATGCTAAGGAGGAATTTATTTTAAGTGATTTTATTTTTTGACTATCTTGAAGACGGTGTCTTTTATTTTTCTTTTGATCTTACTGAACCAATTATTTGTAATGATACGTCAAAAAATTAAAAATGATATCTAGTTAAAGACATTACCTTCAAAAATTCAAATTACAATTTTAAATATACTAACCAAACAATGATAAATTTACGAAAATAATTAAATTGAACAAATTCGTTTGTTTTATATCTAACTCATACCATTTGTACAAGAACAATATAATATTATTGTACAGAGTGATTGATTAACTATGCCACCCTAATTATCACTGAAAATTGATAGATTTATGCACAATAAGTTATGTTAGTGTCCTGCACTCTGATGGCCCGCACTATGGCTGAGATCAGACTGGTTAGTCGACAAGTGGAGAGACACTTTAGAGAACGCTTATAATTAGTTTGAATCTTGACTACTATATTATTGTGCTAGTACTCTGTCCAGCCAGGTTGTGGCGCTTCACTAAGTAATAAAACACAATACAATATAATCATGTATTTTTTGAAAAGTGTATAATATAATAAAAAAAGTAAATCTTCGAAATTTTAATGAGAATGATTTTAACTTTATTTTATTCAGTAAAATAGGCATTTTGTGAAGATTTGAGATTTAAAAAAAAAATGTATTGGTTGCTCAACGTGTTTTAAGTAATTTGACCAAAATTACCCCAAAAAACTTTTTGTGTTATTCAATTTTTAGTCAAATATAATGATTAGTACATCAAAATTGTTAAAATTTTATTACATAATTTTCAATTTTAATTTTTTATTTACATTTTCAACAATTGTAATTTTGATATATTATCGTAAATGTAAAATTATACATTGTATTTATCTTAAAATTGCCTTTTTATAAAACAAAACAGGTGTTTTATAATATGGTATAATAATAGTATTTAATGGGCTTATTTTTACTTACAAAATACAGAATTATTTTTAATCTCAAATACATAATTTTTTTTAAATTGATCTAAAAAAAAAAAAATATCCAAGGTATTTATAAAAAAAAAATTGTGTTAGTACCTTCTATTTTCAAAAATTTTAAATAATAAGGTGGTCTAATAATTTCGTAAATATTAAGTGAAAGTTCAATTATAAGCGATACTTAAATTATTATCTCATGGCATTAAACGCAAATGAAATACGATAAGATGCTACTTGTACTAATATTAAGATAAATCTTGTATGGTGACTAAATGTAATAAATTTTTTGTATACAATATTGATCACGAAGCTCTATTATTTTGCTCTATATGTAAAACTGAGTAAACATATTTCTATAATTCAGATGGTGATAGTACGCCACTGCCTTTGTATAACTTATAACATAAACCTAGTCCTTAGAACCTTGCACAAATACAAACAATATTTTGTTTGTGATCTATGTAAATTATAATATTCTTTAAATTGATCAACCATAAAATAATAAATTTTTTTTTTGTATGATATTAATCACGAAACTTTTATTTTTCTCTTTACTAAAATTAAATTTTTATTTTATAACTGTACACCATATGATAGTACGTAACAGCATCTGTATAACTAATAATATAACCCTAGTCCTTACAACCTTGCCCTAAGAGTACTAGTTATGGCACTGGCCAACGTAATTCCATTTAGGAATGGCACACTTATAAAACTCTATCGGAAAACACATTTCAGTATTTTTAGACATCTCTTAAATTATTGTAACACAAAATCAACATTAATATAAAAATGTAACAAACAATTTTCTATACATCTGTGTAATTTATTATTTTTTAATTAAGGACAGTTACATATATTTAAGAATAAAATTATTTCCAGTGTAATAAGTGACTAATTTACTATAAAATATTTCACTTACAATTGAAGCTTCAAATTTTAATTTTATAATGATTTGATTATTATATTGTGTCTGTTTTCACTTTTATCGAGGGTACGTCAAAATATCACATATTCTTATTTAAGTTCTATATTACTTCTTCTAATGATATGTAGTACACATTATAAATTTTATTATAAACATTATATGCATCTATCATACAATGAAATGGATTTGAATTATTCAGAGGCAAATTTATTTTTAATTCTTCATCAATCATTAAATTATCAAAGAGGGTCCAAGAATTAATTGCATCTTCAATAAATTTGTCTTGAAAAGTTTTTATTTCAGGTTCTTTTAATAATTTAACGTTGAAATTGTAAATATCTTTAATTAAACAACGATAAAGATATTTTTTTAATTCATTCAATATATGAGTTACAGAAAAATCTTCTTTGTAAATAGATGGTTTCACAAAATAACTGTTCTTAAAAACTTTTAATTCGGAAGTATCTATTTGGTGATAATTCATGAATTTAATGATATGTTCTATTGATATAATTATCAAACTTTCAATTTTTTCTAGTAACTTAGTTCCAATTGCACCTTCTAAATAATTTACCACTAAATACAATAATTTGTACGACCTAATTTTCATGGCTAAGTGATATTGCTCATCGGTAATATTACCACCATTTATTTCACCTAAGATAACATTATTGGGAACACTAAATATTACTTCTGACTTCATAAGTTCTCCATGGGGACATTTATCCCAATCAATCGCATTGGAAAAACGACAAAAAACTGTAAAAATTATGATTGAACACAATGTTGATTTCACCATGGTTAAATTTCTTGATGTCACTTGCAGTATAATTAACAGTCGTTAGACAAAATATCTCAAATGATAATCCAAATAATATCATACAATTTTGATAACTATATATAAAATAATAAATTTATGCTAAAAAAAAATATAATATAATTAATGTTTGCGAACTTTTTATGGGAATAATTTGAAACATACTAACCAAACAATGAAAAATTTACGAAAATAATTTCTACATTATATATTGTTGTACAGCTCAAGGTTTTGTCTTAAGCCTGTTTAAAAAAAAATCAATTTATTGCTGCAATAGCTAATGAATAACATGATGAAAAAATAAATTTGAAATTTTAAGTCTTATTCAAATTAGGAGAGTTAATATTACCATCCTTAATACTACCTCCAATAGTACTTCCGTCATTCAAATATACACGAATATATGTACGCTGTAGGTATTTGAATAAAAATGAAATTAGGATTGTGTGTTTTTTCGTAATTCTATATACAAAGTTATTTGTTTAAACTTAGTTGAAATAACTTGAAAAAGAAAAAATATACCTAATAATTATCCAATTATATGCCATGGGGGATCACTGGGTCCAATTCCTCATTTTGATCATTGTAATATCAAATTTTTAGCTTTAATGTGAAAACAAGAAAGTAATAATATTAACATGATGTATTTTTCTTTGTCTGTCCATGAAAATTTTTAGCATTTAAAACACTAATTTTCTTGATCTATTCATAAAAAATATCAAAGTTTATTCGATTAAAGTCGAGACATTTAAAATTTGTTCATCATAAACCTTTAATATAATATAGATATGATGAATACAGACGTTCTGGAAAATTTTCAAATATCGGAAATAAAGTAAATTTTTGAAAAAATTGTGAATTTTCTTAATTAATCAATTTTTTTTTAATTAATAAANTAAATAATATCGGAAATAAAGTAAATTTTTGAAAAAATTGTGAATTTTCTTAATTAATCAATTTTTTTTTAATTAATAAAAATTTAATTTTAATAAAATTTAAATTGATTTAAAATTGGATTTGTAATAGCAGAATAATTGTTCAGACAATTGATTTTTCAATATTGTAGTTAAAATCTAATTTTAATTGAATATAGACTTAAAAAATATAGTTGTTCCGAAATATTTCCAAATATTGATTTGAAATTAAATTGTTTTGATGTAACTTGAATTTATTTAGACAAGTAGTAGCATTTTCTTAATTAATATTGAATATTTCATTCTATTCAGTTAAAGTCACACTGTATACTTGTGTTGTTATTCTGAAAATATTAGATTCTTTAAATAATATTTGTAGCGTTGGTCTTCATAACATCTTTAACATAAATTATCAAAAATACATAGGTATAATGTTTTTTTTTCGGGATAATTAATGTTCAAATTTTTTCGAAAAAGTCATGACTATATTGTTTACATTATTACTATTGCAAATTTATTTGAAAAAATATCTAACAAATTATATTTATAAAAATTGAATAAAAGAGAAACAATTGTACTATTCTTCAATATAAACAATAATAGTAGGTATTTTAATTGTATGATTAATAGATAATTTAACTTTATACACAGCCAAAGTATAAATCAAACATTTTTATTTTAATCTTTTTAAAGTTTTTTATAAAATAAACTATTATTAACATTTTAAATTGTTTTATTCATATTTTTAATTTGAGTATGTCAGATAGAGAAATGTGCTAGAATAATTATTTTAATAAAAAAAGTATCATTAATAGGAATAGAGCAAACAGTGACGGAATATTTTTAAATACAATATTTAGCAGTGATGTGCGTCTCAGGGAAATACAGTATCGTGTCTTGTTGTATTTTTGAAGAAAAATATTAAAAACATACATATGCTTACTTTATGATCTATCTTTTAATACCACCACATCTTCATTTGAACAAAAATACTTAAAAAATATATTTATTAACATGTACATATAAATATATACATATTATTATGATTATTTATTTATAATGCTTATGAGAATATCTATGTTCAGG